AACGACTGCACACAAGGCTGTTCCATTGCAGTTTTGATGAATCTTATGCCTATAGTTGGAATAGGTCACAGCCTGGGATCTTGCAAGTATTACAGATATAAAGGTCATGGGAAATGACCTTTGCAAAACTAAAATGCAGCACAAATAGTTCTTCATGTTACTTGTTACTCTGCAAGCTGCTAAAGCTTCCCCCTGTCATGACAGCCCCGTTGCTTCCACAGCGGGTCTCTTGGCAGATCAACTGGAAAGCTCCATTTCAACTCCAACAGCCTTGACACTATTAAAAGTAGCCCATCACACTGCAGTCAGTTTGAAGGGCAAGTGAAGCTTGTTTTCACTTCAAACATGACACCAGCACATGTGCACTGCTGCTCAACGCACATGCTTGATCATTTGGTGTGAGTATTTTAGGGAGGCTTGTGCTGTTCAGAGGGACAGACCCCTGGTTAAGCTCAAAAGGACCTGCCAGCTGCAGCCTGTGATGGACAATGTGAAGGATTGCACTGGTTTTGTCTAACATTCAAGTAGAGGTGCCCACAGACTGCGAGTGAAACTGGCTTCCCACTCCAGGAATTGATGCTGGGAGTCATGAGGTGTTCAAGTAAGGATGACAGCAGTACATCACAGGCAGATTTTACAGACTAAGCTGGACAAGATCAAATGCTCCTGTGTAAAGGAACTGTTTATAGCTTAAATCAGTGTCTACTGGAAGTACTGAAGTGTTACATGCAGCTGTGTTTACAACTGCAGGCATTACCTAGCAGCTAGCAGGTCATTCCAGCCATCATCTTTCCACCCAAGAATTTATAAAATGCCTCTCAAAGCCTCAGCATCTTTTCTAAGCCACTCAGTTGGCAACACATTTTGACTTTAAGAAGGTTTTTCAAACATTAGATGCAGTTTCACTGGTGACTTACTCTGCAGGTACCATCCAGCATTAATATTCTCATTACTTTTATAAATGATCCATTTAAATTTATACAGGGATAGAGGCAGAGTCCACACATTCCCACCCCAGCACACAAGCAGAGCCACATTAAATCACCAAGTCCTAACTTTGTAGCTGTCAGTGAATCCAGGACTGGAACGAGTGTAAAGGTAATTAACCTCGGAGGTCACAGCCCTGTAAGACGGGTCCAACTTCAGCCTGCTCTAAGCTCCTCAGAGCCTGCATTTCCACATGGAGGAATAAAGGCAGTTACTTCAGAAAGCTCCTCAAACAGGCTCCAACATTTGCTTCAGTGTGAAAATTTAAGGTCACATGCACTTGGACATACAAGCATGTGCATTGTTTCAGTCAGAGTTACACCACGCTTCGCTGGATGCCATGAAAATATTCCACTTGTGCTGCCCCACTGAGAAGGCACATGAACAGAGTTGCACTCCATGAGTTTTGTTGTAACATGACACAGAAGGGGCAGAAAGTTCACCAGCTGTCAGTCAGTGTTCTTGCCACCTTATCACCACTAAGGAAGGACACCTCCAGCAAAAGACAACCTCCCTTGTCAGCATAAGGCAGGACAATACAACTGTATTGAAGACTGACTGAATTTTTAAGGCACATTTCAATTTGGAGGGAGTGGACTGCCTTCAACTGCAGGCAGTCCCCACAGCACCCAAGCAAGATGAGCAGCTACTGCTCATTCCTTTCTCAGCAACAGACTTCCAAGGAGCAGCAGGGTCCTGCAGGGGTTAACCCACAGTTACACAGGAGGGTTTATCCATAGAACCATTACATTTTCCTTTTACTGAAGATGCCTCAGTCATACATAATTGAGCATGAGAATTGCTATCATTTACTTGCTTGGAGGGGCACAAGCCAACTTGTGTAAACCAGCCCCTGACATTACAAACAGCAAACTAAAATAGAAGTTGTTCCACTGATCCCATCCATTACATCATGGAAATTGTTATTTTGTCATGAAAACTCCCTTAAATATCCAATTTAATCTCATTAATAGAGGAATGAAGCTCTCGCTTCCAAGACAGCAGCTGCCACTACCTTTGACAGACACAGGAACTCAGATATGTTTTTGGATGCCTCAGAGACTACTGGATGCAGTTTTAGGAGATTAAGGTAGTGTCATCTTTTCAAACTTACAGTAAAAAGCACTTCTGGAAGCATTTATAGCCAAAGCATTGAGTAAATACCTTAATCTCTTGTCTGAAACCTCTTATTTAGGAAGGAAAAAATCAGGTCTGTTGGACATTTCATCAATCCAGTACAGTCACTAAACAAACCAAGCGAGGAGGACCTTGTTTTCGCAACAGTGGTGGGAGGGAGGAAGGCACACACAAGCCATGTCAGTGCAATCACATCACCAACCACCTCTGCCAGGTATTTACAAAAAAAGTCTGACTTCTGAAGGGAAGCAGGAAAAATTCACCTGCTCAAGCCATATTTCATGAAATATTTTAGCAGCACTGCTTGATCAAGGCAGTGGAACATGACGCAGCTCACACTGGAGCAGTTCTTACAGAGCAGAAAGGATACATCCTGTAACAGTGCAGTTCCTTCCCATGGATCCTCATCATGCTGCAGTTATTTGTCTGTGCTCTGCACCTAGTGCTGCCTGTCCCTGCAGATCCACTTCTTGCAACATCTTCTCCTTTCCTGAAGGAGAGAAAATCATCTCCCCTGTCCAACATTCAACGTCCTGCAATATATTTCCCATCCTCTCCCATTTGTAATTCCCTGCATTAGCCAAGCTCCAGCAACGTTGATTCACTCACAGCACCCAGTGCCAAGTCAGAGCCTTGGCTAAAACTCTTCCTCCCCTCCTTTTTCCCCTCTATACATAAAGAATACTGGAGGCAAATCACTCCAACAGAAAACTGCCCCACAGGGAGAGGATTTCTCAAAGCCAAGCAGTTTCTGCACCTGCTAAAAGTGCTAAATTAAGGCATCTTAGAGCTGCAAATCACTGATAACATCATCTTAAGGAAAAGTGCTGCTGTCATGAGAGATTTAAGAGTTAAGTGCTAATTTATTCCCCCAGTACCCTCCCACCATCCTATCAGGCAAGGGAGACTGTTTTATGATAAAGCATTGAGATCAGGTTACAGATTAAGTGTGGAATTATTCAAATGGCAAGCCAGTGATGCTTAATAGTCTGAAAAACTACACTACTTTCCATCTTTAGTCCCTTTGTCAGGTCCTCCTTCAGCACAGTCTCCACCCAACACAATCCCAAAGGGGCAACAAGCCACCTCTCTCATCCTCACCTCTGTAGGACTCACTATCACAGACACCCCAAAGAAGTCTCTCCAACCTCACCTTACTCATCCCACCATTCACTCCTTACCCCTTCCCAATCTCTGCAGCCCAGCATCTCCTTTGGCCCAATCCCTCACCACAGTACATAACATTTCCAGTTTCCACCTCTGTAGCCCCATATCTTCTTCACCTCCAAGATCCTCATCCCCTTTCCATCTTTATGGCCTCACATACCCCACATCCCAAAGCTCCTCACTGCTTTCTCACCTCTCCAGCCCCTTAACTCCTTCATCCAAAAAAGCTTCTCAGCCCCTCACCCCAAACTCTTCCTCACCTTCAGCCCTCCACCTCCCTCCTCCCAAATCCTTCCTCACCTTCACCCCAAATTCTTCCTCACCTTCACTAGCCCTTCATCACCCTCACCCTTACCCCAAACCCATCATCTCCCTCACCCCAAACCGTTCCTCACATTCAGCCCTTCACCTCCCTCACTCCAAATCCTTCTTCAAACCCGGCCGGCTTTCACCGCCGGCACCGCCCGCACCCGCACCCCAAGCCCGGCCCGGGGGTGCGGTTTGGAAAAAACCACCCATAGACCACAAGAACACAATAATCGGGTTGGATCAATGGAGTACAAAAGAGGGGCGAAAAACGGGTGGGAAGAAAACGAGAACCGGGGGGGCATAGGGGAGACGTGAAAGAGAAGAAAGGTACACGACAACAATAAAGAAAAACGTATTAATCAACAGAGATAACAAAATCGGTCTATCGGGGTGGAACCCTCACCCAAGCCCCGCAGGCACCCTCCCCCCAAGACCTCATCCCCCGCACCCAACCCTCATCCACCCTCTACCCCAAGCCCGCATCCCCCTAACCCCAAAGCCCCTCAGCGCCCTCTACCCAAGCACCTATCACTCCCAACCCCAAGCCCCTCAGCAACCGCACCCCAAGCCCCTCATCTCCCTCACCCCCAAGCCCCTCATCTCCCTCACCCCAAGCTCCTCATCTCCCTCACCCCAAGCCCCTCATCTCCCTCACCCCAAGCCCTCATCTCCCTCACCCCACGCCCCTCATCTCCTCACCCCAAGCCCCTCAGCTCCCTCACCCAAAAGCCCCTCATCTCCCTCACCCCAAGCCCCTCATCTCCCTCACCCCAAAAGGCCCCTCATCTCCCGCACCCCCAGCCCCGTCCATCTATCTCCTCACCCAAGCCCGTCATCTCCTCACCCAAAAAAGCCCCTCATATCCCTCACCCCAAGCCCCTCATCTCCCTCACCCCCAGCCCCTCATCTCCCTCACCCCAAGCCCCTCATCTCCCTCACCCCAAGCCCCTCATCTCCCTCACCCCAAGCCCCTCATCTCCCTCACCCCAAGCCCCTCATCTCCCTCACCTCAAACGCTCCCTCACCCTCACCAACCCCTGACCTCCCTCTCCCCACCGCTCCCAGCCGCCCCACTCTCCCACACCTCCTCCTCGCTCCAGTCACCTTTCACACCCCGACGCCCCCCTTACCAGCCCCCGGGTCTCCCCCAGCACCCGGGACCTGCTCCGTGCGGCGGAGGGGGGTGAGGGGGTGAGGGAGGGCGGCGGGGAAGGGACGCAGTCACGGGCGGCGGCGGCGCGAGCGCGGCGGCTCCGGGGCAGCGGCGGCCGCTTTATAACCGGGACCTGGGGAACCGGCACCGCTTCCGCTTCCGCTTCCGCCCCCTCCCGCCCCGATCATGAATATGCAACAGAGGCGTGGCCTCCCCGATGGGGTATAGGGGCTGCGTCGTGAATATGCAATGAGGGGCGTGGTCTCTCTGAGGGGTGGCACTGAGTGTCATGAATATGTATGAGTAGGCGTGGCCTCGCTGGGGAGGGGGCGGGGGGTGTTGTCTGGTGACGGGCGGGGGGCTACGGAGGCGCCCTGGCGTCCCCCCCAGGGGCGCCCACCTGAGGGGACCCGGGGAGGGGGATGGCGGGACAGGTGTCACTGAGCCACAGAGCCACAGAATCGCACTGAAAATTCACAGGGACCATCGAGTCCGGCTGCTGGTCCTGCACAGAATCCCACCATATGCCTGAGAGCGTTGTCCAAATGCTCTTTGAGCTCTGTCGGGCTTGGTGCTGTGAGCACTTCCCTGGGGAGCCTGTTCAGTGCCCGACCACCCTTCTGAGTGAAAAACCTTTTCCTAATATCCAACCTAAACGTCCCCTGAAACAGCTTCATGCCCTTGCCTTTGGTCCTGTCACTGGTCACCAGCGAGCAAAGATCAGTGCCTGCCCTTCCACTTCTCCTGACAAGCAAGTTGTACCTGCCATGAGGTCTCCCTCAGTCTCCTCCAGGCTGAACAAGCCAAGTGCCCTCAGCCACTCCTCATATGGCTTCCCCACAAGGCCCTTCACCATCTTGGACACTGTCTAATGCCTTAATATTTTTCTTATATCACAGTGCCCAAAAGTGCACACAGTACTCAAGGTGGGGACACTCCAGTGCAGAGCAGAGTGGGACAATCCCTTCCCTGGCCCGGCTGGCGATGCTTTGCCTGATGACCCCTGGGACACGGTTGGCCCTCCTGGCTGCCAGGGCACTGCTGACTCATATTCAACTTGCCATCAACCAGGACCCCCAGGCCCCTTTCCATGGCACTGCTTTCCAGCATCTCATTCCCCAGTTTGTGTCAGGGCTGCTCCCGCTGCGTGGCGGGGAAGGATGAGCCTGTTGGCACTTCTCTGGGTTTGAAGAGGGGTTCTTGGTTGGAAAGGGAGCCCAAGTGGCAACTTGAGGGTGAATGGAGCCTTCCACCTGTGCTGTACCCACTGAGGTATTGGGTGTTTGCACAGAAACATGACAAGGAGTCCCTTGTCCCTGTCAGGCAAAGTTGTGCCAAGCACAGCTCCAAACCAACAGCTTGGAAAGTGCAGGAATGGGTGCCCTTCTCTACCTGAGATACTGCAAACACTCTGGCCCAAAATTGCCAGAATTGTCCTTCATCGTGAGGAAAAATAACACCTTTCCTCATGTTTGGCCACAGGGAAGGTTCCCATCCTGCCACATCGCCTCACCCCTGCTGCTCTCCGGAGGCCATGAGGCATCTCTCATGTCCAGCCTAGCACTGCAATGGGATGTGTGTGCCAGGCCACCATGGCGAGGGTGACATGTGGCATTTGTCATGTATTTGTCACATCTGTGGAACACAACCCTCAACACACAGCGCCCAGCGACCCCCAGGACATTAAAACGCTTCATTCCCTGTGGCAGCCACGGCCCTGCCACATTGGAAGCACCCGCTGCAAACTTGCCATAAGAGACCATGGTTCTTTTTATTCCCAATTAACGTCTCCTAGCCTTAATTGTGCTGACTACACTGGGCAGAGTAGCATGATGTTTAATTTTCATTACTTACATAAACTGGGGAGGCATAAAGCAGCATGCGAGTGGCGTGTAAAAATGCACGTTACGTTGCGTAAGTGTAATTGTTTTCTGTTTCTTGACACGCTGTTAAGTATATATTCCAAAACAATTTTTTTTTTTTATGGTGAACTTCTTTCTCTGCAGCTCATGAATAAATAAACCACGAAGCATACCAGACTTCAGAAAAGGAAAACCACAGAAGGCAAAATGGAAGAACTGTACACATCTACGCGCTATTAAAAACCAAGATGAATCTGGAGTCTAACAAAGAGACTCTAGTAACAAGCCCTAAAGAAACAAAAACTGGCATTAATAATTTATTCTACAATGCTATTATCAATATGTATTTATTTTTAGGCTAATTCAGCTGAAAAGCTTGCATGACCACAGTCATGCACAACTCAGTAAACTATCCATCCTCTGGTGAGGATTCCCAAAGTCTGTTAGAAGAATGATTGTTTTTAAGACATGTTACTGATGTTTATAGATACAAAAAGTGGCAAAATAATTATCTTAATTAGCCAAATGGTGAAGATAAAGCTACCACACTGATGACAACCCAGTGTAACACCTACTCTTGACAGTAGAACAACATCCTTTGTATCACAGCTGTGATATTGCTTAATAAAACAATGCAGTTTATTCCATGGAAGAAACAAAATGTACCTGTATTTATAGAAGTAAAAAAGCCTAATGACTCCGTGGTGAGAGAAAAGACTTCGGCAATTTTAGTGGAAATTCTATGAGACCCTAACACACCTGAAAACACTGAGAAGGGATCTCAAGATGTAGTTACAACTTCTAAGGTGTGCTTCTTGTTACTCATAGATTTGTGGCAGACTGGACTACCTAATGTTTTGACACTCTGCTTTAAAATAGCTAAAAAAAATTTAAAAGTACTTTTTTTTTTTTAGTCCTTTTGTTGCCTGCTTTTGTGGCAAAGCGTGATCCTTACCCCACCCTGACATTTTAGACCCGTTCTGGCAATGTCCGGACATGTCCAGACGTGTCCAGATATTTCTCCATTGTATTTCCTCGTTTTATTTTTGCTCAAGAGCTGTTAATTGTCAGCCCTTAGCTGAGCCTGGAGTCAGAAAGAGTAATTTTCCATAAAACAAACATTTTAGTTTAAAAAATCAAATTTTTTTTTATAACAAGAGTGAGGGGGTGGAAAAAAAATACGCAAGGAAGCAGACCCACCTTTTCCCTCTAAGGTTCTTACTCAACTCCAAATATTTAACCCATAATAAATAAACGCATTCTCATGTCTTGGCAGGGGAGAAATGAGTGTCAGTCAGGAGACTGATGTGCTGTCCAGGCGTGTGCTATGTTTGCCCGGGAGAGGGACTGGGAGAAAAGCCCCTGAACTGTGGTTTAGAGGGAATTAGAGACATGCTCTGCTCCCCGGTGTGGGTGAGGGTCTGCCTCTCCTCAGCAGGGTGATGAATCCCGTTCCTTGGAGCGTCCCTGCGCAGTGTGTAGAGATTTGAGGCACTTTGGAGAAAGCTTTCCCTAAAGAAAGCACCCTGAAGTCACCTTAAAATCTCTCTGACTCTTCTTATGCACATATCCACTTTGTGAGTTGGGAAGTTGGAGAACCCCCCAAGGTACCAATCTCTTGCTTCCCCTGGTTTGTTTGGCATGGAGTGCCCGAGAACTTTAAGAAAGAAATAACCTACGGGACCTCAGAACACTAGGGAGCAATATCGTGCTCGGAATGCCTTGCCTTGTGTCTTGACGTAGACACTGGAGCGAGGGGTCTTCCCTATTTAACGAGATATGTTAATTAACCAGCTGGCAGGATTGTCAACAAGCTGCTGTGAGTTCTCTGTACTCCATTTCACAGGTACTTGGCTTCCCAAATTGTTATGAAAACTCACCATCCAGCCAAGCCAAACAAACACCACCCCCAATATTATTTTACACACGTGTCAAAAGAAAAAACTTTGCTGCGGGCCAAGCGGGTGAAGGAATTTTACAAGGCTGCGTCTGATCCTCCCTCTCCCCTCCCTCAGACAGTTAAAGAAATGTTTGTATGATGAAAGGGGTAAGGGAGCAGAGGACAGCTGGTTAGGACTTAATGAAATGTTTGAGCATTATCATGCGATAATGGATTTAGCTGACTGTTTGCCAGTGTTCAGATCTAGTGTGAATTGCTTTATATGAAACCTCCTGAGACTGCTGCTGCTCCTAAATCCTTTCAAAGCTGTGACTTTCAAAAGAAAAAGGTAATTCTTCATGTGGATGGACAGAAGCCTTCGGGATTGTTTTGACTTGCTTTCAGACATAATGGTGTTTGACACAGCCAGCTCTCCGAGGTGTCTCCTAATTGGGAGTGGCCATGGGTTTGGGAAGCCCGAGGCTACGCTTGAAGCAAATCTGAGCACCCAAAGCCCAGGAGAGGTCTCTCAGCCAGGATACTTGTAAACAGGACATGAAAAAGTGAGTCTCAACTTTTACACATTTGTCCTGTAATTTAGCCCCGGGTTATCTCTCACCAAGGGTGAAATATCTGACGGGAAACCCAGGCTCTGAGCTTGAAACTGCTCTTTACCCTTCTCCCTGCCCTTCCCCATGAAACTCTGTCATTACGCTGGAACTTTAATGGCTGTAAAAAGTAGCGTGTGTCCCTTGAAGCCTTTTTTCCCCCCTAAAGACATTGGGATGCTTCTGTTTTCTACAGATGCAGACTTGTGGCAAGTCAACCAAAGATATTTTGCCTGATGTAGATGAGTCTCAAGAAGGTTTTATGAACGGCAGGAGACCCTGTGAATTTTTGACTAGGATCCAGATAGGCAGATTTGCAGGTCAGTTCAGGTGGCCTGTGGTGGCCAAAATTGAAGTCTGAGAGCCAAATGGCTTCCAACAGGACCTGCAGGTATAGAGCGTGACTCAGCCCTTTGCCCTGTCACCAGCCCAAAGTCCACTCATCTGGAGCCAGTTGGTTCATGTCACCCCAGAGCAATGTCAACAGTCCTGAGCAAACAGGATGGTGAAGATGTCTTTGCCTTCCTCCAGAGCTGGAACATGGAGTCTCCCTGTACTGGGCACTGGTGTGGTCCCTCCTCGAATCCTGGGTTCAGTTTTGGGCCCCTCATGACAAGAAAGATATTGAGGTGCTGGAGTGTGTCCAGAGAAGGATAATAACCTGGGGAAGGGTCTGGAGCACAAGTCTGATGAGCAGCAGCTGAGGGAGCTGGGGGTGTTTAGCCTGGAGGAAAGGAAGCTCCAGGGGGGACCTTCTCTCTACAACTACCTGAAAGGAGGGTGTAGCCAGGTAGGCGTTGGTTTCTTCTTCAGCTAACAAGCAGTAGGCTCAGAGGTAATGCCCTCAAATTGCACAGGAAAGGTTTAGATTGGATATTAGGAAAAATGTCTTCATAGAAAGAGTAGTCAAGCACTGGCACAGGCTGCCCAGGGAAGTGGTGGAGTCACCATCCCTGAAGACACTTAAACAACATGTATATGAGGCACCTGGGGACATGGTTTAATCGTGGACTTAGCAGTGCTGGTTTAATGGTTGGATTTTATGATCTTAAACGTCTTTTCCAACTGAAATGATTCTAGGATTCTAAAAGCAGTAGCTATACCTTCCCATACCATCCCCATATGGAAAAAAACCAGCTCACGATAGCTGTTACCTCCCAAGAGGCCCTTGCAGGCTGTAAAATGGGGTTTGCTGCTGCTGCCGCTTGTGAGGTCTCATCATGACTTCATGCCTTGAAGAATAAGAGTTCCCTGTCATTATTTTCCTGGTTTGCACAGCTAAAAGCTGGTATTAATGGCTGCAAAAATTATCCTGCCTCTCGAGTTTATACGGTCTATAATTATCTTCACAATAAAACTGTGAGGAATTAAGCTCCAGAGCAGTTTATAGGTGACAAGGGGTGACTTGACAGTCCTTCAAGAACTGTGGCTTTCAGTCCTCAAGCGCCAAGAGCAGTTAAGATGCTGCTAGACAGCACTTGAGAACTGCATGGCTTGTTCAGTTCAGTCACTGCTTCCCTTGCCATGGAGAGACCAGAATCTCTTTTTTTTTTAATGCTATTTACTCGTTCTGTTTCTCTCTGCTTGGGCAATGAGCTGCGATTAGTCAGTTTTCCTTCTGAGCTGCCTCATGAAGCCACGACTGTGATGTTTATGAGGTTTCCATTGCAGCACAGGGATATTTGTATTTCGGTCGCTCTACTTTTATTGAAAAACAGATACATTTTCATCATATTGGATGTGCAAAGAACCAAAATCCTGAACCAAAGCCTGAAATACAGGAGGGTGTTTAAGTCTGAGATGATTTTCAAGTTTTCATTCGTATTAGCTTTACCCTGGTGAAAGCTGACTGGTATTATTGCCAGTTTACACTGGTGAATATCTAAAAAAGACCAGTTAGTTTTCTGTCTGCACAGGCTCCTGACACATGCCAGAGAGTCAAATTTGCTGAACTTTCACCCAAGAGATCTTAGAGCCTTTCAGTGCTTAATGGGAGCTTATAAAAAAGGTGGAGAGGGACTTTTTATATGGAAGTGGTAACACAAGGGGGAAGGGTTTTAAACCAAAAGAGGGGAGATTTAGATTAGATATAAGGAAGAAATTCTTTATTCAGAGGGTGGTAAGGGACTGGAACAGGTTGCCAAGAGAAGCTGTGGATGCCCCATCCCTGGAAGTGTTCAAGACCAGGTTGGATGGGGTTTGGAGCAACCTCATCTGGTGTTCCCTGCCCATGGCAAGGGTTTCGAACTAGATGGTCTTGAAGGTCCCTTCCCAACCAAACCATTCTATAATTCTTGGTTACTTAGTGCTTTCTCATAACAACATAATGTTTTGTGGATTAATTAATAATTGTTAATCTGTTGGGCTAGCCCAGAGCAGAACAAAATACTGCATTTTATCTGATCACAACACAAATGTTTAGTTTTAGCTCCAGACACTAGATGATGACCTCTAGTCAACTGAGCATTTATCCCTGTTCACACTGCCTGCTTGTTTTGCAGCCTTATGGCTCCAGCTGGATCCAAACTGTGCAGGTGTTACTGGGCACATCTGTTTTGATCACCAGGTGGGACCTGAAGCCTCTGTAGCCTTCCTGGAGGACTCACTTTACTCTTTGCTCTGCTAAGGCCTGTTACAACTACGTGCTGTGATTTATCTCATCTCTTCCCTTGCCTAATCGGTCACATACCTGATTGGTGTTTGCAATATTCTGGGTCCCAGCATAAACAAATTGTTTAGCCCTGTGTCATCAAAACTGCATCTGCAAAACCATCAGCCTTCTCCGTATTTTTGGAAAATCCTAGGAAACAACTCTGCAGCTACACCTGAGCTAGTGGCTTCAGCAGCTATGACTCAGTGTTAGCAGAGGTCCATGAGCAGTCGCAAAAATAGACACTGTTGTGCTGACTGCATTCAGTTTTTTTTTTTTCACATTTCCATGAAAACATGAGTAACACTCACCTGGGTGATGAAAAAGCAAGTTGGATTGGCACTGGTTGGCAACGGGATGGAAAATTAGTATGTAAAGAAACTAGTGATTAAGATAATGAAAAACAATGTTAAGAGTCTTAGGTGAAGCCAAGTTTTGTAGCCCTCGAGCTTTTAATTGTGAAATTGTTGGCTCTCGTGTTGTTTCTGAAATAGAAATCTATTTAAATGACTTAAGCAACCCAAGTTTCAAGAATAACCCCAAGCAGGCTGTTTTAGTTATGACTGAGAAACTGAATTGACTGAATACTTTTTATTCTAATTGCTTGAATTTCCAAACACAACCAGAGAACTAAACAGCTGCAGACCCTGAAGTGTTTCATATGAAAGTAATTTCCAACTTTGAGGAAAAAATAAAATGCCAAAGTTGATTGGAGTGGCCATTAAAATCCCCTGCAAAATACTGAGATTTTTTTAGGATTAT